AATAAAGAAAGAGAACATCTATCGACTATATCGAAGAGAAAGCAAGCAATTTCTCTCAATAAAATTATTAAAATAAGCTAATGATTCGACTACGGTCGTTAGTCCGTCATACGTAATAGATTATTATGAAGAAAAGAGAATTTTTTACTTCTGAAAATGATTTCTTCTCTACCTGCTTTGACTGTTTGAAGAGCACAGAGAAGAAAGATTAGTCAATTCATTGCACCTCATCGAAGTATCTTTGTTTCGACTTTAGTGGAGAATTTTTTTTTATTATTTGATTTGATGTAATTGTCGTGAGAATTAGAACAGAAGAGTTGGTTTTCCCGATCAATTCAATAAACGGAAAACAATTTACAAGATTGCGAAGAGATCTTTTTTGTGGCTGGATATATTCTATATTCTGCCTAAAGATGTGCAAGATCATCGTTAATTCGGGAACGACATCGAAACTACAAGCAAAGAAAAGTTGTCGAAATTAGCGTCGAAATCAAAGGTTATAGTAATAACTGCTACGGTTTCGAAGTCAATTATATTACATATATAATATTAATCACCACTAAATTCAACAAATATGATAACCTTTGACTGGATAAATCAACGGGTCGAAATTGAAGAATTTTTTCAATTTCATTCAAACACGCTTAAGATTTTCCTAACCAAAAACAAGACCGGAACTAGAGTAAATTAACCAATATCACGAACAAATATGTTACCTTCATGATGACTATAAAATATGGTTGCACATATTTCTAATTCCAGCTCAAAGATGCTCATCAAAAGGCTATTTTCTCATTCGTCGGATTAATTCACGAAAAAAAATGATCCGTGATGGTCATCAGTCTAGAATAGAATCTAAAACTAAGAATTGAGAAACAAATTGTTAGTTAAACATTGTTTAGTAAGTCTTTTATATTAAACAATAATAATCTCTTGAATTAGATTCGTATCATATATCCAGAAATCAGGGATGAGAACTATGTAACGCATCATATAGAGATAGCTAATTTCCAAGCTTATTTCTAGGAGCTATCGTACGAGAGCGATAATCCAATCTCAATATAATTGCTCAATCGAAAATTTTAGATTTAGGTAAAAACTACCTTATCTTGTAGAACAAATGTTTTTGGGCATATATTCAAATTGTAGATCTGATCGATGAGAGTTTTGGTTGAGATATGATAATCTGACTGATGGAATCCAAAATAGCTTTTTACCAATTTAATGCATTATTTGTCAATCATTTACTTGGATTGTTTTCATGGCATCTCCTGACAAAGACGCAATAGAGTTTTGAAATTTTTAGCAGAAATACATTCTGAGATAGACAATACAGCCATCATATTTAATATTGTCCATGTGTCACTAAAACTTTCACTATACCGTCACTATCCTTTACATATTATTCTAAAAAGTGGTCTATATTGACGATAGGCTTTCTCCAGATTAGCGCGATAGAATTTGCTCATATCTTTTTCTCAAAGACTACTAACCGGTTATTATTTGTCTATATAATCAAAAATTTTGGATCTCGTACTTTGACCTAATAAGTACCATCACAAAATAGCACTATTTTTCTTTGTAGTATAGGACAAAGAGCACTTGAAATGATTTTGGCACAAGTAGAAAATAAAAGTAACTTGACATGAAATTTTCAGCAATTTAAAGGTCAGTTAATAGTCATTCCTGTAAGTTTCGACTTGAATGATAAAACTTTCAATCTATTTTTATGTTCTAATAAATACACATCTTCATGGTTTTAAAGCTTTGGGATAATTAATAGCTTGATTCAATGAGTTTCGATAACGTTTTCATAGTTCGATGAATAGCTCATATATCATTCGATGGAGATTTTAACGCTGAACAAAACTATATATTTGACTTCGAGTTGAACGCAAAAGCTAAGTATAAAATGTCTACTATATTGTTCATTAGACATCCTGCATAGATCACACAGAGATAGTGTAGAAGACTGATGAAAGTCGTTTCTCGCGGGATCGATATGATATTCTCAATATAAGTAGTACTCATCGTGAGTTAGGAAATTTTTGCATATAGGTGTGGAAAACATCTTTCTTTGATCTATCGTCTAGTGTGTAGCATACAATATATCTAAATAATATCTAGAAACTAGTATTGTATATCCACTATCTTGTGAAAACTGACTTTCATCAGTCTTGGACGTGGTCTCAATGCAACCCATGCAGGATGTCTGGTGAACAATATAATAGACGTTTTATAATCAGTCTGTGATTTTAACTCAAGGCCAATTATTTAGATACGTTGAGCGTTAAATTCTTCATCGAATGGTATATAACTTATCTATGTAATCATGTGAAAAATCTGTCAAACTCAAATGAATCACATCTTTCATTGTTTTGAATTCTTACGATTATAAAGGTATCTTTCTAGTAGAACATCAAAATAGAGTGACAATTTTATCAATCAAACTGAAATTCACAGGAGTGACTTGTAGCTTCGACTTTTATAATTGCTGAAAGTTTCACATCAAATGACCCTAATTTTCTACTTGGGCCAAAATCATTTAAAATGTTCTTTGTCCTAGACTACAGAGCAAATAGTACTATTTAGTGATACCGCTTGTCAGAATGAAGAGGGATGTCATAATACTCACAACTAGCGTATCGATATTTCAAACATGAGTGTCAGAGTATTCATCTCAGTGCTTTGATGGCTACCATATGCTGTTAACATGAAGATTTTGAGTGCTTTTGATGTAACGTGATGAGTACCTGAGTCACCGCCCATAGGTTCTTGAACTTGAGAATTTTGATGCGATGATCGAGATAGTACTTTTTGCGCTGAGATTAGGATTTTACGAAATTTTCAGTACCTGCATTTTTGTCTGAAAACACTGGATGAGTACATGTTAGAGGCTATTCGAAAATCAACTAATTAGGTGGGAAAAGAGATTCAAAAAAATCATGGTCCAATTGTTTCGTCCCAGCTTTTTGACAGAAAAGTGATCCCTAGAAGGAGAGGGGTCCAAAATAGCTAAGAAATCAATCGTGTGTGTGGGTGTCGGTGTAGTTGGGTGTGGAGTGTGAGAGAATACTATCTCTTCCCATACACACCCACACCCACCCAATATTTATGTGTTATTCTTAAAGACTTTTACAATATACAAGTAGCTGAAATTGTTAAACATAAATTATCATCAAGTGGTTTTTATTATATACCGACAAAATGTGCTCATGAAGAATATATTGAATTTATTTAAAAATTTATCATTAACTCAAGAATCTTGAAGTCTTTGATATTAATGAAAATGTTGATATATCAAAAGATTTACGAGCTAAAAAGACTTTCATTTAATTCAATTCTCGTAACAATGGATTCAACAACAACAACCAGAGAAGGTGATGATACAGATAAAAAAATAAAATGATATTGCTAATGTTATACTTTCAAAAGTAAATAATTAATTATATTTGTGATTAAAATATTGCTTGTATTTTTTTTATTACTTAGTTAGCAAATAATTTTAATTGGGAAGAAGCAATGAAAAAATATTCAACACAAATTTTTAACTGATATCAAGTGAAATTTTACTTGAAAAAAATACAATATCAATCGATTTGTTAGCCTTTGAATTTCAGATATAAAACTATTTTCTTTCTTATATATTGATTTGTTTTTATTTTTTGTTCAGATTTTGAAAGTCACTAAAAGGGAAACAGCTCCAAATGACAGTACATATATCAGTGGTCTCTTCTTTGATGATGCACGATGGAATCAAGATACATAGTTTTATATAATCCTAAACAGATACAAAAAAAAAAAGTTAATAATGGGTACGACGAGTGGTTGAAACTTATAGATATATTTTTTTCTGTTCTTTTCGAATATCGAGCTCTCGGACACATTTCCACTACTTGAAATCCATTGAAACTGTGACTACTCGAAGAAAGAGATTTCCTCGAGAAGATACTTTTCGATTGTTTGATATAATTCCGATTACTTGAAACTCATCGAAATATCGAGTGCTTGACAAGAGTAAATCTATCGAATAAATAGTGTCGATTGTTCATTTTTCTGTTGATCAATGAAAACTTTAGCATTCAGTTTTCGAATACATTTTCATTGTTATTCCATTATTTTATGGGAGAATATTTTGTTTATTAGATGATTTTATGTAGTTTCATGATTTAAACAACATTATTCATTAATTCTAACTAAAACCATAACAGAAATATGTGTGCGTTTATGGTGAACAAATAATTGTAATAGATTCTTAGTTTTTTAAATTAAAAGAGAGCAGTTAATGAGATTTATCATTGTTCTAGTTTCACTATTTCGTTCATTATTTTTTTTTTAGTATTCACATTAATTATAATATAATTTGCGTTAAAGAATAAACCTTCTATTTATACAACGAAATCTATAATGAATAGAATCGTTTTCGTCAAATATTGACAAGAAGAAAAACATACGCATCAGCAAATTTTTGTTTTTGACAAAAATTATTCAAAATTATATTTAAAGAAAATTGAGAAAGAAGTTTAAGTTATATATATGCATCTTTATTAATAAAAATTTTCTGAATGAATATTCATGTTATACTAAGAGATTTATGAACAATATTTACCCAATTATTGAAAATTTTTTACGGCATCTTGACAACAATCGAAAGCAGCTAGACATAGAAAAGCAATATGAATTGGAATAACGTATGCGAAAATATTAAATTTGAATGTAAAAAAAAACAAAACTTTCACAAATTCTAGTCGACTTGAATCTGTTTTAAATATCACTTTTCAAATAAGTTTACAAACATTTATTTTGAAACTAAAATCAATATTATGCAATATATGAAAATATTTCACCATTGAATCAGTTTATTGAGAAGATGTAAACTATGTAATTCTTCTATTTTGTTTCAATCAATAACAGTATTCATAGTTATTTTCTTTTATTTTTATTTTAATCTCTAACAATCAAAAATAATCAGTTTACATTTCATTTCTATGTTTATATAGTTATATAACATCAAGATAAAAAGCCATAAATCCACTACTGCCGATATTTGTTCGTTTCAACATATAAGTAACTGTATGTAAATTTCCACTTGTCGTAGCAAATGTTTGACTCAAAAAGATGAGAGCTGTACGACCAGATGTACAAAAACTCTCAAAACAATATCCAGATGAACATTGAGAGCTATTTGCTATATTAGCAGCACTTAAACCGCATGTTGTCGCTTCACATGATACAGTCCAACCAGTTGGTGTTGTTGTAGAATTTTCAAAATTAGGATTGGTCAGTAACTGAGGTGATGATAGAGTACTGTCAACAACAGATACAGTATCTAAATAAAAACTATTAGTACCATCAGTTTGAAATCCAAATAGTATTGTATGTGAAGCGCTTGTTGATGTAAAAGTACGTGAATATGATGTCCATGCAGTTGGTGTTGTTTGATTTTGAAATGCAAGTACACCACGACCTGTATTCGAACATGCGATTGCTAAAATGAATTGAATAGAAAAAAAATGATACTAAAAAAAGAATATTTTCTCACAGATGGCTACTGTTGTTGTTGTTGTTGTTGTTGTTGCTAAAAAAAAGGAGAAAATATTTAAAAGAGAAATAAATTTTGTCAAGCTAAGATATTAATTTCTTTTCGCTCGGAAAAAAAGAACTATGAAAAATATTTGATACCCTGTGAAATCAATTCTAAAACATTAATAAAATACGTACAAGTTGAACTTGTCGAATTCGTTGAATTTATTGTTGAAGTACCTTAAAGAAAAATATTGAACCCAATCCAATAATAAACATATTTCGATTAAATTTACTTGAAAGTAATGTTGTCGACGATGTCGTTTTTGATGACGAAGCTAAAATAATTTAATATTCTAATTAATTAGAATATATAACAGATGACGTATTATTAAATGGAACAAAATGGTTACCTCTTTTTAGGACATTCTTTATTTTTTTCAAACAACATTGTTTTTTTTGTTGGTACAAAATTTAAAAGATGAACATCTACTCAATCGATCAACTGTAGCGATCAAAAAACGAAAAATTTTTAATAGAAATTTTGTTGAAATTTCAGATATGCTACAAAGTTCTGTATCTTTTGATATGCGTTTCAAGGTTTTAGATGAAATGTATGCAAGAAAAATTTTTCAAGTAAAAAATATGAGAAAACTCTTTTCTAGTAGAGTTATATAATTATTCTTTTCTTAATATTTCTACTCTTCAATTTAACCATCATACTATTTTGCTCAAAATTAAACTCTACACCTGGTAGCATGAGACTATACACAAGTCTCGCTTTGGAAAACATCGTTTTCAAGAATGCGTCTCAAAATATTACTAAGTGTTAGTTCAATGCCTTCTTCTTCTGAACAACAGGAGTCTTCGTTCGAGAAAAAGAAAACTACACCAACGTTAAGTGTGTAAATTGAGAAACTACTATCTTCACTGATCGATAGGAATAAAATATTTCTCTTTATGATGCTCAAGCCCTAATTTGTATTGTAGTTCCGTTTTGAAACTTCTTAATTTCTTTAAATCGATAGATTTAACATACAGATACACAAAAACCTAAGTGAAATTTTATGCGAGCTGTAGATACATATGATAATGAAGGGATTATCTTTTTTTTTCTGAATGAACCGATCAAATCAAATCCAAATCGAGATTTTCTTATTCGTTTCGGTCTCTGGTGTGTAATCTGTGAGCTTATAAGTTTGTTTATTATTATTTCTAATCTTGAGATACAAATTACTTTCTTTTTCTTTCTTCTTAGTTATGCAAAATTAAGACATACATACATAGAGTAAGACCAAGTACTATGCCAATAATAGCACAGGCAATAAGAAACGATATAAGTACAGCAATACCAATCCAAAAACAAGTTTTACGACTTGATTTTTTTTAAATCGGAAATGAAAAAAAAAAACAATTAAATAGAAATCAATGTTCTACTTCCTTGTTTTTATTTTTATTATCATTATTTTTTTGTAATTTCTGATTATACGCCCATGAAGTGTCAAATTCTGGTGATATTCGATTTTGGTGTTGATGGTACCATTTATTGATTGACTAAATAAAAAGACATGAAAATAGAAAATAATTTTCTTTAATGAATAAAACGAACTGATACGGATGAAGAAGTAAATCTATTAGCAAATTGTTTTGATTGAAAATCTCCTTGATTCATTGGTATCATTTGAGCTCGATAGGGAGCTATTGAAATATTTGATAATCTCATAGTTATACCTTCTACCCTGGTTTCGTACTGAATGATTTATTGATCGATATTTCATCATATTTTATACTCTCTTAAATAAATTTATTTTTCTTGCTATTGACAACTCATCAGAGAAGCTATATTATTTAATTAAAAAGAAACTCTTTCTATCGATTTTACTTGTTGAATTATAGAAAAGAAAGTCAATAATATATGACATAAAATATATTTTGCTAAAAATATTTTCATTAACAAAGTATTTATTTTCAATCAGCCCATAGTCTACAGTACAGATTTTTTTTATATTGATTAAGTTTTGATATGCTTTGTAGGTTTGATTGTATTTACTGTTTTTTTTTTGTTCTATATATGTAATTTTCATTCTCATTGTCCTTGATCTTGCAATTAATCGAGAAAAATTCACTTAACAGAACAAAATAAAATCTGTTGTTTCAACAAACATAATGAAAAGAATATGACGCCATTCGAAAATCAATTGTTTAACTTCTAGATCATATTCGAATATTCTTCACATCTAATATGATCGAATAATATAAATCTCGAAATTTCTTTTCCTATTGATATGATCGAGAATTGACTTCTTCACACTCAAGATACCTTCTTATCTGACACTGATTATGTTTTTCGAACAATCTAGTAATCTGGGACAGTTGATTATTCAATAGAACTAAGGAAAAAATGATGAATAATCAACAACAAAATAAATGTAAGGAACAAATACATAGAAGTATTTATTTTCGCAACAATTTTCAATTATTTCATTCACGATGAGTGTGCATTAATAGTAGACGAAACTAATTTCTTTCTGAAATTGACCCGCATACATGAAGTTTTCACTAAGTTAAGGATATATTTTCTTGTTAGACTGGAAAACTTTTATGTAAAATCATAATTCGAATTTTTTTTTTTATATTGATTACGATAATAATCGGTTCTTTTCAACAAAACAAAATGATCCATGTTGTGTTGCACAGCATAAAAATGAAAACAAAAGCTATTTTCCGACACACAAATGTTTGAATTACAAATATGTGAACCCAATAAAATTTTTTTAAAATTTATTCAAACAGTATGTAAATTTTTTTCTGTTTATGAACAAAAGAAATCTCGTTAGCCATTCACTGAAAATCTTTTAACATTTGTTTCCAATCTATTGTCTTTGAACTTCACGCAAATTTTATGTCTTGTTATCGATCATTCGATTCTCTATGATAGCATAAACTTTTTGTCTCACACTTCTTATACGAATTTCTATATATAGGAGTTGCAAAATGTACTACATTTGCTGTTGAAAGATGTTTTATTGATTTTGAAATTGAATTAAAAATGTAGAGGTTACATTTTCAACTTTGTCATTTCTTTCTCTTAGAGTTGTCCACTCCTCAAAAATTGATCATCGGTCAGTTGTGTTCAAATCGTATGAAATTTTAAAGATATAATGATGGTGTAGTAGAGAACCTATAATACAATTTTCAGTCCTACACCATGACATTTTCAGGAGCTATCTAACAAACAAAGACCAAAAATACGTCATTTGGCAACCAAAATTCTTTGTAAGTCTTCATTCTATATACGTAATTTCTTTTTAATTGAAAAAACATATCAAGATGTAGGGCGTGGCAGAGCCTTTTTTTTAAACGGAGAAAGGGGATGAAAAGTTCAATGCTTTAAAAAACTCTCAAAAAAAAGGCACTCGAATTATAAAAGTACTCTTATGTATAATAGTAACAAAATTTAATTCAAAAAAAAAGAGACTCTGTCATGCTCTGCGTCCTGACATGTTTTTTCAGATAAAAAAAAATTCAACATATATAATGAAGTTCCACAGTGAATTGTGGGTTGCGCGATTAAAAGAGCCATAATGTTTGAGGGATTACGTTGTCCAGCACATGCGTCCAAGGTACTGTGTCCAAACCCTGGTATCGCCAGTCATCAAAAGACTCTAAGCAAGTCATCAACAATATATTGCTTCGAATTATCCGTCTAATAACACGTTGACTACATAGTGACATACGCTTATTCAAACGTAGATTAATGAATCTTTTCGCGATCAATAGATCGATTCTATCTTTATTGAATTACCAATAAAAGAGAAAAAAATGCAAAATATATGTAATTTTCTATTTACTATTCAAATGGTCTATGAAGAAATTGTTCATTTTTTTCTGTTTTATTTGCACATGGTGGATATGGATCACCTCGACAAGCAAATAATAACTCCATTGTTGCACCAAAATCTTTTGGATGATGAATACACCATCCTGTACCACCATCAATTGGTGGTGAACACCATAAAAGAGAATCTCTAACAAATACTTCAAATTGCGATGTAGGTGCTGGTAAATTAATTGGTATTGATTCTACAGCAAAATTTAATATTCCATTAATATTTTCATATGGTGTATTTAATGAAAATGAAATATTTGTTATGGGTATAGAACGAGTTGTCTCATGAAGAAGAAAATTGGGTAAACGAATGCGTTCATCAGACCAATAAAGAAGAAATTTTTTCACGTCAAATTGAGAAAAAATTGTAGTAGTAGTTAAATTGGATGCAAAAGCAGGTAAAATAAGTGTTCGATTTTGTAGATGTGTATGTTGTAATATAAGTAAAGCACGAATAAGAAGATTTCGATAACTAATTTTCATATTTCTATTAAATAAAAACAAATAAAAAAAAATTTTTTCTCATGAAAACTCATTTTTATTTGTTTTTCTCTTACGTATTTGATATTGTAACTGTAAAATATTTTGCATTTGCATTACCATGATACATTTTTGATCGTATACCAAGTTTTGCTGCTTGATTAAATAATATAAAAGCACTACCATCAGTCATTAAATGTGAAAAATGATTTCCAAATACATGAGTTGTCCAATTTAATGATGGAGCAGATTTTATTGCTTTTAAATAAATTTTATCAAGACGATCATAATTTTTAAGTAAAGCATCAAGTACACGTTGATCGGATAAATAAGCACCTTTACCATAACGTAACCAAAATTCCGTAACATAAGAAAAGAATTCTATAGATGCAGTAGTCGATTGAACAAAAAATAAACCAACATTAACTCTTGGATGAGAACCAAAATGATCACTTATTTGTAAATCATAAATATCAATTGGTTTTTTTAAATGATCAAGTGGATTTGCTCTCCTAGGAAAACAAAAAAATTTACAAGTTAATTTTCTTTTTTTTTTTTTTTTTGAAAATAAAACTAATTCATACCAAAAAACATCCATTTCACTAAGAAATACTGAATAACCCATTTGAATAATTTTAGCTGCTGTATTAAATTTTGCATGACCAACACGATAAAGTGAATGTTGCCGTGCTTCAATAGTATTTATCCATTTTAATTGTTGTTCAAATGTAAATGTTGAATAATAAACAGGTACACCTTGTTTTATTGCTAAAATAATAGCTATTTCATCCATAGCAATAATAAAACAATGACATTTATTCGTATCATTCGATATTTCATGCATTCGTTCATACCAATCCCAAGTAAATAAAGAATAACTATCACCACCAATTATAGTTATAATAATTTGTTTCAATGGATTTGAATGTTGTTGTAGAAGTGAAAGTAGATGTTCATCACTTGAATATTTCATAAAAATATTTTTTTCAATATTACTTGATGATTGTTGATCTATTACAGATGACGTTGTTGGTTTTGATGGATCTATTAAAGAGTTGAATTATTTTTAATTTGTTTTCATAATATTCAAGATGATATAATTTAAAAATTTTACAAGATTCAAATGTGAACTATAATAGGAAGACTTACTATAGAGTTCATTTTAGTAAATTTAGAAATTTCTAATTTTATATTCAAAGTTGTTTTTTTCTGGTTTAAAATTAGTTCATTAAGAAAAATCTATAATAAAAGCGAAAAATAACGTCTATACAAAATTTTTTTCTACAGTTTAGTTTTGTATTTTAATCAAAACTTTGTCAATACAAACTATATGTCTTTTGACACAATAGTTTGTAAAGGAAGGTTTACTCTCAGAAAAAAAGCTTGTTAGCGGAGGCCTTTTGAGGCTAAAATATGGAACTCATATGTTTTTTTAGCGTTTTTATATTGGTATAAAATACGTAAAATGAAAACTCTCTTGTAGAAGGTTTAACTGATAAATAAGCCCATTGTACAGATCCATTATATATATACAGCAGATCTCAATCCATTATTATATATCTCAATAAACTCAAAACACTTATATTGATTAATTTTTAAAGTTATAACATGATCAGTTCACGCTTTTTTATGTTGATTACATGACGACTGTGATCAATCAAGATACGATAATCCATCATCCTTGACATCTTAAATATAAATTTTTAATGTAACAGTTAACCGTTCAAAAAATGTTTAGAAGGTTTCGATTCTTTTGAATTTTAATTTACTGTAATTCGTGATTTTGGTCAAGGAGTGCTAAATCTCAAATTGGTACAAATTTTTAAATCGACATGTCAAAATTTTCAAATTTCATAATTTTTTAATTTTCAAATTTACGAAGTATGACTAAATTTGAAAAAGACTGAGATATCATATATTTACTCACACTATATATTTTTGTAATACTACCAGCAACCAGATATCAGATATTTACTCCCACTATATATTTTTCTAATACTACCAGCACTCAGATATCAGATATTTACTCACACTATAGAACAGCAATGTCCGAATTCCGTAAATCCCGAACTCTTGAGGAATCCTTGAACTCA